TTTATACTTAATTTAATTTAGAATTTGTATCAAAGATAGAACAATTTTTTTGGTTAATGTGAACACAGATTTTAGTGGGGTTCAGGACATAGTGAGCCAACGTTCCTACTCTATTAGGAAACCAGGAGATAGGAATGTACTTAGTCAATAATTGAAGAAACAGGAAAATATGACTTAATTAAAGAAAATTAGTCCTCAGAAATAGATTCACAAAGGACCCAGATGTTGTGAGACAGCTTTAAGGACTTTGAAATGCCTCTGATAAACATGCTTACAAAGTCCAGGGACCAACTGGGTATAATAAGTGGAGAGATGGGGAAATTCCAGAAAAGAAAGGGGAGTGTAGAATTCTATATGCAGAGATTTCAAAAATGGAAACAAAATAAAGTCACTTCCAGTATACCAAACTTGAGAAAACTTCATAATCAGACCTGTGTACAAGAAACAAATACCAGGTAGAAATTCAGATCAACAAGAAGGAAGGGAGTGGGAAAAGATAAGTATGCTGACATTTGTAAAAGCTTCTGTGTTATTTCTATCTTAAAACTCTTTTTAAATTGTGATTGTTAATTATGATAAATTGCGTGAGGGGTAAGAATTGCCTAACGTGTTATTAAGCTCTGGGTGTGTCTGTGGTTGACTGCCACATAGGCCAGCAAACTGAGAAAGGAAGACCCACCCAGGATGTGGGTGGCATCAACCAATAGGCTTGTAGCCTGCATGGAATAAAAAGGGAAAGAAGGAGGCAGTGCTTCCTCTTTTTGGAGGAGCTCCAGTCTTCAACACTAGCTTTGGAGGTTGGTCTCCAGTTCCTTCAACTTTCTAACACCAACTCTGCAGCCTTCTAACACAGCCTCTCATTGGTTGCTCTACACTGAGCTCCCAGGCCTTCAACCTTCCACTGCCACTGGATCCTTGGGTTCTCCAGTGTGCAGACATTCATGTTGGATTCTTTCTCTGATCTGGTGGATGGTCACTGGGATGCTTCTGCAAGCCTACCTAATAAATCCCTTTGTATAATCATACACATATTTTATATTGATTCTGCTTCTGTAGAAAACTCAAACCACAGTAATACAAAATTCAATTTATTATTTAAAGAAAAAGCACTAATAATGTTCTCATAAGGTGTATTATCTATGAAATGGGGGTGCTGCTGGGTCAAGGTATATTGGGTAAGTCACTGGTGTGTATTGTATTCTGTAGAGGAACCCCTAAAACCTAATAATGCAAAGATAGAGCTAGAATGTTCATAGAAGAAAATCAGAACAATAACCAATTAACCTTCAAGGACAGAAGGAAAATAAAATCCAGTAATAATGAAATAATGGATCAGATGATAAGATGCAATTAGCAAGTTGGTGGTATTAGCTCCTGTATGATAAATTGCCCAAAACTTAGTGACTTGAAACAACAATAAATATTTATTGTCACTGACAGTTTCTGGGGGGTAAATCCTTTTTTTTTTGAAATGGGGTCTTGCTATGTTGTGCAGGCTGGCCTTGAATTCACTTTGTAGCCTAGACCGGCCTGGGACTGGTGACAATCCTCCTGCTTTAGCCTCCCAAGTGCTGGAATTATAGGCATGTGCCGACATGCTTGGCTAGAGGGGTAAAGAATTTGGGAGTGGCTTAGTTGGATGTTCATGGCTTGAGATCTTTGATGAGATGGCAGCAGAGATTAGCTGGAGGCTCCCAGGATATGAGGTCTTCCAGGGGCCTGCTCCTCTGGCTGCCAACTCTGTGTGGCACTTATGTGACTCTTCATTTGAGTCATATCTGCTAAGAAAGTTTTTTTTTTTTGTCTTTTTGAGACAGGGTTTCACTATGCAGTTCAGGCTGGTCTTGAACTCACTTTGTAGCCCAGGTTGGTCTCAAACTCACCAGGATCCTCTTGCCTCCACTTCTGGAATGCTGGGATTACCCAGTTTAGGAATTTCTTTAAGCACAGAGACATGCCAAACATTTCTCTTATGTTACTTCTTAGTCTTTCAGATGAAGTAGTTTTTTTTTTAAATAGGAAATTATGGGAAGGTTTTTCTTTTGCTGCAAGAGTTTTTTTCTTTTTGTTACTTTTTAGAAAAAAAAATTTTTATAGCATTTGCATCCAGAACTCTTTTATAAGGCCACTGTGGTAAAACTAATCTGTCAGTCAAAAATAAAAATTTCAAGAAATTATATATGAGCTGTGATCAAAATATACAGTGAATATTTAAATTTAAAAATTTATTATAGTAAAAGACATGCTGCCATTAATCCCCTCCAAGATTCTCCCCCTCACTTTGAACAAACTCATTCTATTGTTCCTCGCCACTTTCTGCAGCAGTTCTGGAAATCCTCTTGCCTGTCCTTCCAAAGTATGATATAAAACATGGTAAACTCTGCTGCCATGTGCCATCCAATGGAAAGGCAGGCTCATAAAAACATGCTAGTGTATAATCATTCATCTTTTTTTTTTTTTTTGGTTTTTCTCTGGTACCAGGAACCGAACTCACGACCTTGCACTTGCCAGGCAGGCACTTTGCCGCTAAGCTAAACCCCCAGCCCCAATTGTTCATCTTATTCACCAGAACTGTCACTGTGGGACTTCTGGCTCTTCCCTGAAGTCAAAATAACTATGAAAAGGAACATTTTGAATCAATTCAGCTCAACAAGACAGCTGTTATAGTGCAACTGAAGACACACAGGAAAGAGGATTTCCAGAGCTGCTTCAGAAAGTGTCAAAAATGATGGGATAAGTGTGTTGGAAGTGATAGGGAGTATCTTGAGGGTGATTCATGGTAGCATGACTTTTATCGTAATAAGTTTTAAAAAAATTTTTAAGCATCCACTGTATTTCTTGATCACATCTCAGAGGTGCAGTTAGTTTCACACCTTTTTTTCATCTTAAAATGTTTGTGGGATTGGTGTGTACATTATATAGTTACATGATTCATATGAGTTAAAAGAAAACTAGTAGAGTGAGTGTTCAAATGCATAAAGATTTGCTTACATTTGATTTCCTTTTACCTGTAATTACATTTAATTTTTTGCTTACATAATAATTTCCGTGGGCTAAGTCCTATGGAAATCCTATGTTGAAGAATGTGGACATGTACAATGGCTTAGTGCTTTTCCTGTTGCTGTAACACTGTAACACTATCGGCTGGGTGATTTATGAAGCAAGTTTATTTAGCTGCTGGGACTCCAAGGGCAAGTGGTGAGGGCCTTCAAGCTACATCACAGCATGGCAGAAAGAGGAAAGGCAAGGAGGGAGGCACACATGAATTCCCTCCCACGACAGAGCCATCCCCAGGGTAGTCTGCAGCCAGCCATTCTGGAGTGGGAGGCAGCCAAGACCTATACACTTCCCATCAGGCTCCACCCCCCAATGCTGCTCCACTGGGAATTAAAGTTCAACGCATGAACTTCAGGGGCAGGGGACAGTCCAACTGTGGCATATGAATTTTTCTGTTAGTACATGTTTGCAGTACATAACATTCACCTTCTTTGTGTGGTCTTGGTACATGTATATAATACATTAATTTCTTTTTTCATCCCCTTTCCTTCCCCTCCTTCCACCTTTTGATCCTTTTCTCACTTGAGAAAGATCTATTTCTCTATTTCCTGTTATGTATTTTTTTTATTTTGCTCTTTATATTTTGGGTTTCTTATATAAGAGAAAGCATGCTATAGTTAAGCTTTGTGTCTGATTTATTTCATTTAATATTATGGCTTCAAGGTGCATTCATTTTCCTGCAAGTGACTCAAGTTCGTATTTCTTTATGGCACAGTAGTACTCCATGGTGTGTAAACACCACACTTTCTTTATCCATTTATCTGTTGAAGGACATATAGGCTGCTTCCAAGATTCAGCTATTCTGAGTTGAGCCTCTGTAAACATCGTTGTGCGTGGATCGCTGTGACATGATGTCTCTAACTCTTTCAGGAAGATTCCCAGAAGGGGCACAGGCAAGTCAAGTGGAATTTCTAGCTTTAATGTTTTAAAGAATCTCTATTCTGAGTAAATAAGGTCTAAAATGTACAATAGATATTGTGAAATGTGAAGAAATTGTTAAAAAGGAAAAAGGATCTAGGGTAGGGGAAAGGGAAAAGAGAAAAAATGCAAGTTAGCTATACTATTAGTATCTCAGTTCATAGAAAAGAAAGGTTTGTGCTAATATCAATTGGAGAATTTTTTATGTCCATGTCTTGTACTCTGAGTAACTACTTTAAAGATAATATTAACTGTTGTTACTCTACTTTTATCTTGTTGTGAAATTTTATTTTACCTCTTTTCCATAAAAAAAAAATCTCCATTCTGATTTCCATAGTTCTTGTACTAGTTTACATTATTGCCAAATGGGAAGGAATTGATTTAACAAAAGAGTATGATTAGGTTTAAAGCAAGATGTTGGGAAGTCAGTTTGTAATTTAAATAGGTGGCACGTGTGGACTGCAGGTCAGGGATTGTTTGTTATGAAAATCACTTAATTGTCTACTATTTGGCAGGCAGCACATACCAGGAACTCCTTTCAACTTATTAATTAATAATTAATAGAGACTGTCACCTCATATACCTGCTCCTGTGACAGCAGCATGCTCAGGGCCAGACCTACCCCAGATTATTGTAGGAGCAATCATAGGTAAGAAGTCACCTACTCCTGGTTTGTTTTTTTTTAATTTTGTCATCCTCAGGATTGAACCCAGAACTTCCCACTGAGCTACATCCCCAGACCTGTTTTATTTTGAGACAGGGTCTTACTAAGTTGCTAAATTGCCCAAGCATGCTCGAATTTATCTCAGCCTTCTACAGTTCTGGGATTACAGGTGTGGGCCGCTGTGCCTGGCTGTCTGCTCAATTCTGTTTTTCTTGGGAACATCCACCTACATACAACACATACAGCCAGCCTTCTGTGTGTGTCGCCAGTGCGTATGTGTGAGGTTTGGGTGGAATAATGATGTGAGGGCAGTGAAAGAAAATTTAAGGATCATTAACATGAGAAGAAACTCAGTATTTAATGGGATAGACATCATGTGACAGTTTTCAAACATACAGATGCTCCCTGACTCCTGAGAGAGTTACTTCTTGATGAGTTTAGTGTAGGCTGAAAAATAAAGTAAAAAAATGCACTGAATACACTTACCCCACTTTATAGCTTAGTCCACTCTGCCTTCAGTGTGCTTGGAACATAGTAGTCTGCAGTTAGGAGAAATCACCTAACACAAAGCACGTCTTACGGTAAAGGGCTGAGTATCTCAAAGACACACACACACACACATGAAGGAGGGGCGGGGATTTGGAGACACAGGGTACGGAAACACAAAATAGCCCCTAACGCCTACTTCAGCCTCTGGCGGTCTGCCCTCATGTCCCCAGGGCTGACTGGGAGCTGTGTCTTGTGAGGGTGACTTTGTGTTCTCAGCCCAGAAAAACACCCTAATTCAAAATTCCAAGTATGGTGCCTCTGGCTGTGTGCTGCTTTCACACCATCCTAAAGGGAAAGTCATTGTAAGTCAGGGACCGTCTGGATGTCACCAGCAGCCCAAAGTCTTTCTGTGTTCTGCTGGCTTCAGATGGCAGACCCCTGCCTCCACCGTGACTTTTGAGCCCCTTCTCCACCTGCAAATTACAGAATCTTCACCCGCAGGAGGCAGCTCTTGCACGGAGTCCGTGCTGTCCCTTTGCATAAACTATGGTTACAATTTCTGCAAGTCTGAGCCTTTGCAGTGCCCTCTTCTTCTTTGGTGTGTTCCGTGTGAACAACCAAGTCCCACTTAACTTCTGAGCTACAGCGATGTGTGGGGGATTTGAAAGCCACTCACAGGAGCATCGTGAAGAGGGTGCATCTGCAGGTGGTAAGGAGGAGTCTTGCTTTCCTTCTCTTATCCTCCCCTTCAGCTGTACGAAGATCTGAGCTGCTTCTCCAGACACAGGCATTCAGAAAGCCTTTGTCACAACCCATGTCTCGCTGTCTGTGTGGGCCTCACCTTTCCTGGTAGGCCGTAACCACTGGGCTGACTGTCCAACCCCAGGCTGGATGAGTTGTATCAGATGGGGTTCACTAGAGGAACAGAATATATATATATATATATATTTATATGATATCTAAAGGCTTTATAAAGTAAGCTTACAATGGCTGTCAGCAGAGTCAGGGATAGAAGAATGCAAAAGGGCCATCAAGGTTCTGGAGACAAAAGGATTCAGTCAAAGGTCAAAGGCCTACAGTTTACTGCACAGTCTGGTGCGAGTCCCTATTGGGAAACTGAAGGGTCTGTGTTAGAGGCTGAAGGAACTGGAGGCAGATATCCAGCGGAGATGACAAAGATGGGAGCTCCTCCAAAGACAGAGGGCAGACTTCCTCCGCCTTCCTCTTTATTCCATCCAGGCTACAAGCCGATTGGCTGGTTCCTGAAAGACCCGGATGTGGGTGGGTCTTTCTTCCTCAGCAAGTCCATCACCCAGACACATCCAGAACTGTGCTGTGCTGCTCCAGTGGGCATTCCTTATTCAAACTGTCAAGACCACTAACTACCACGTGGGTTACCTACCAGTTCTCCTTGGCCCAAGAACCAAGAAGAGACGTTGCCGTGCTAGATTCACTTTAGACAATTTGGGTCCCCGCGGGCCAACAACACTGTTGCTGAGAGATGCAATAATTCATTCAATTATTCATTCAGCAAATACTTCTTGAACACTATATGCTAAGCACTGTTCTGGGCCACAAAGACGCAGCAGAGATGAAAGCAACACACACCACCTCCCTTGTATTTACATTGCCCCGGGGGAAGGAGGCACTAAACCATAGCTAGAAACAGGGTGGTGGATGTTCCATTTTTCTAGTGCTCCCACGGGTATCTTTGTTTCTGAGTCACACTCGGCACCAACTCGTTGCTCTGGGTCCTGGCACAGCTGTGGACCTTGACCACCTGCGCCCATGGTGTGGGTGACTGCGAGCCCCGCTGAGCTTTAGCTCCAGGGCAGTGGCAGAGGCTGGGTGCGAAGTCACTTTCTGGGTCTGTTTGAAAATTAGCACCTTGGCTCACTGTACTGCTATGGCCATCTTGAAAACCATCATAAATCACGACGAAGGGACTCTGCACTTTTCTTTTGCACCGGGCCCCATACATTAGGTGGTCGACAGCACTTTAAAGATGTGCTGGCTTTTTGTTTGTGATTCAGAATGGGGCCCCACCTCGTTCTGTACAGCAGGGTGGGTTCTGTGGAGCTGAGCGGCGGGGCTGGCTCTGCAGAGACAGGGAAGGGAAGCAGTGATTCTTTCAAAGTTCCTCTCCTTGTAGGTTTCAGTGGGAGGTAGTGGCCTCATCTGGAAGGTTCAGGTGAACTGGGCCCTCATGACTTTTGTTTCTGTTTTCTAAACTGGCCCATTTCAGTTTGGTTTGCTCACCTAGCACTTAGCCTGAGTGAATCCATTCTGACAGGGGCTTTTTGCAGGTGTTCAGTCCAAAATGGTGGCCTTCCAGCTGGGCGTGGTGGCATGCACCTGTAATCCCAGCACTCTGAGAGGCTGAGGCAGGAGGGTTTGAGCCCAGCCTGGGCTACATAGTGAGACCCTGTCTCAGAATAAAAAAGGGCTGCAGATGTAGGTCAGTGTGAATGCTTTGGGTTCAAGCCCTGGGAAGACAAAAAACAAAAACAAAAATAAGAAACCCCTAAACAAGTGAACTCCCATAAATTTATTTTGCAGTTGACAGACCAGACACGAGATGTAAGAGAAAGAGGGACTGGGGTGGAAGCCAGGGGTTTTGCTGCTGCCTGAGGTGGCGTGGGTTTGAGGAACAGAGAGTGGAGGAGAGGGAGGCCTCTCTGCAGCCTGGTTATCACAACACAGAGCAGGGCGTTTAGATTGTGGAAGGAAACCTGCGTTTTATGGAAAGAAGAAAGAATTTGTAGCTTGAAAAGCGAGCAAAAGAGAGCAACTTCCACCAGGACAGTAGGGTTAGAATTTAATGAAATGTGTGGAGCCAGGTAGCTTTTCAAAATAACACTGGATAAGAAGGTAGCAGGCACCTAGGCTGTCTGCACGTACAGTTAGGCAGTAAGCTGGGCTCAGCGGTGCATGTCTGCAGTCACAGCACTCTGGGAGGCCGAGGCAGAAGGATCACAAGTTCAAGCCCAACCTGAGCAACTTAAAGAGATCCTGTCTCAAAAAAAAAAACCAACAAAAAAAGAGGGGAGAGAGGGAGAGAGAGAGAGAGGGAGGGAGAGAGGCAGGGGGAAAGGCTTGGGATGTAGCTTAGTGCTAAAGCCCTGGGTGCAATCCCAAGTAGCGCGCGCGCGCGCGCGCGCACACACACACACACACACACACACACACACACACACGGCGTTAAGTCTTTCAGATGACTAGTGATGGTGACTCAGAGAAACCTGCCTTAGATCTTCTCATTATCTCGAGGTGCACAGCCAGCGGCCTCCCTGCCTCTGTAGCTGGACCTCGCAGAAGAGGCTGGCAATCGACAGCCACCGTCTTTTAAGAACCGGAGGTGTCCACTCACAGGACGTTAGTGCCTTGATCTGAAAGCCGCTGAAACAGATCTGCCTGCACTCCTGGCCCAGCGGAGACAGTAGCTGGAGTCCGTGGCCCACAGAGAGAGGGGTCGTGGAACTTTGGGACTAAATGATTTGGACACGTATTCGCAGAGAGACTGGTTCTAAAGAAAAAAAATCATTCCAAACATTAAAACTCCAGTGGTAATAACATTGGTATCATTATTACTATTTTTATGTCCTTTTATTTCATGTTAGTCACGGAAGTTACTTAAAAGAGTAATAAAAAAGAAAGTATAATTGTTAAAAATGAAAGATGTTTTCGGTAGGGACATTTAAACTGGAAAGCTCAATATAAGATTGTGCTCTTAACAGAAGTAGTCTAGTATTCCTCAGACTGCTGACCGGGCTGTGGGCAAGTCGCTGCTCCCCTTCTCCCCCAGGAGGACGGACAACGACACTGGCCAGGAATATTTTCATTTTTGTTCCAGAATGTAAAAAAAAGGACCAAGCATTATTAAAAATAATTGAAGATTAAGGACAAGGAGGCGACCCATAAGAGAGGCCCACAAGCCCGAGATGTGGCAGCTGAACCTGCAAAAGGAGGCGGTGAGAGTGATGGCAACACGCAGGCGTGGAAGGAGCCACGGTCCCGGGTGCCGGGGAACTGAGCAGAGGGCAGGGAGCGCCGTCGGCACCGCGGAGCGCGTGGTCAGCGTCTGAGCGCGTTGTTAACGCTGTGCTCGCTGCAGTTGCACCCACGGCTCTGATAACATCCTCTGTGGTATTTTTGCCCCCGTCTGGAATACTTGCACAATTCAAGTCTGGAATTTTGTCCCGTCTCTCCAGTCTCCTCGGACCTAAACTAACCTTAGAGCGTGGGCCCGCGGGAGAGGCTCGTGAGGCTCGAGTGGGGGATGTTCATGTGTTTTGGGAAGTGGGGATCTGTAGAATTTGTCAATCTGTAGGAAGTTTGGGTTTGAGTCACAAGATTGCTTGGGGTCAGGTTTCTGCCCTTTACCTTATCAGCTAAGTTAATTTACAGGCCTAAAGTATTTTTAAGGGGTTTAGGAAATTATTTTATTTTAGAAATTTTGTTTTTCTTAGTGCACGTTTGCAACTTGTACTCCTCACATCCTCCTGAGGAGCTGGTGGCACACGGATGTCACATCTCCGTTCCCACTTCACTTCCCTTCCCCTTCCCTGCCCCAACATTGCCAGTTTTGAAGGACCCATGTTCCCCTTGTCTCCCTCAGTGATTATCTCTTTAATTATTATCTCTTTTATAGAATGTTGCAAGTTTGGGGCTTGTCTCATGCTCCCTCGAAGGAGTCAGGTTGTGTATTATTTACTCCTGGCTGGAACAGCCTCTAAGTGAGCTAAATTTCCATTGAGGAGGGTCACACAAGCAGTGTTTAAGAGGATGGTTGAAAAATAATGATGCGAGGAGACAGTTTTCCCCCTCTCCCTCTGGAGGCTCGCTGGAATGAACTGACAGTAGATAAACAGGAGAAGGGACACGTGTGCGTGTTACACGCATGTGCACAGCAGCGAGCCCATGGTGTAATATACCCCAGCTCAACATGGTTCCGGAGCTTACGCATCCCTTTCGATGGGAAGAGAGGGGTGGGGATGCAGACAATTTTTAGGGGAGTAGCAAGTGACTTTTAAGGGAATTTGCTAGGTTTGTAAATGATTCTCTTTAGAACGCAGAATGGGAGAGGGCTATGTGTGACAAGGCTGTCCAGGTGTGTGACCAAGTGCCATCCTTCTCAGGAAGCCCGGGGCAGGGAGCAGAGGTCTGTACTTTAAGCTGCCGCAGTGACAGCTCTTCAGGCATCTGCTCTTCTCCATGTTCCTTTAATTTGAAATTAAAGCACACAAGGTGCTAAATTAAATTAAAGCACCGCATTTTGGGGTAACTGTCCTCAGACTCCTTCGAAGGTTTCCCAACTCCACCTTGACCAGCTGGTCCTCAGTTTCCCACTGTGACAGGAGCCCTCCTCCTCGCCCACTCACTTCTCTGTCTGTTAGACCTAAGGACTCATAAGGTTCCTTTTGTTCGTGGGGGTGTAATTCCTCATTCTGTTTGATTCTTTGGCCCTGGGATCGTCCTAGATTTGTCTGTTTGGAGCATCTTCAAATAGCCCCTTGTGCCCTGTGATGTTCCCACCTCATTTCTTTTGAGCATCTCCTTATGTGTTGATTATGAGATGCTCTGAGAACGTCTGATATCCGCTCTGCCACAGCCCGGAGGCAACAGTTCTCCAAGGAGCCCTGAATTTTTGTGGCAGTGGTGTGTTAGAGACAAAGATATTGCCATGTCTCTGCTTCTTCTTTTAGGAAACATGTCAGTTGAAACACGGATAATAAGTGGATGGTAGATGGGGAGATTATAGGTACACAAGAGAGCGTATGAGGTGTGACCTAAAACATGGTAAACATTTACATTTTTTTTTAATTTAATTTAATTTAATTTTTTTTATTTTAAAGAATAAAAGAAGGATAACATAATAATAGGGGGGAC